CACGTGGAAATCGATCCTACAGTTACAATAATGACTATCAACATATTATAGGCAGCAGGATAAATGCATATGCCACAGCAGATGGAAGAATTTTATGGTCTTAAAAATATCCTCAGGAATTAGGGAAGTACAATAACAAGCGCTGCACCGCGAGGGCTCTGAAGCAACTTTATAAGGTGCCCCTTAATATTTTATGTGTATGAATAATGATGAGTGGTTTAAAGGTAACACCCTTCCTAGTCTTTCTCCCCAAAAAACTAGGCGCTTTTGAAGGTTCCCCTAGTACCCACAAAACGGTTTGAAAAACAAACTATTTTCGTATGTTCAGTTGTTCACCTTAAGAAACAATTCTCTGAAGCTCACTTAAATCAGTGATAAGTACGAGTCAAGTGTTACAGCTCAACGCTCAACGTGTAAAAATCTTCGCCTACGAATCACTTCGTCATACTCGTACGTCATTTGTTCGGTACTCCCAATTTTTATGTGGCCATTGTTCGCAACGGTCTGTTTTATTGGCCAGTAGCCTCCCAGCACGACAGCGGAACAAAGGAAATACCGCTACGTATGAGTTTAAACTCGTACCAAATCGCAGGCTAAATGTCGCCCAGCCGCTGTGTGAGCTCCGTGCCTTCACTCATATTGGTTCTTTCGTCAAGCTTCATTAAAGGTAATAAGCGGGGCACGGGGTATATACGTACGGGTCCCCTTCTACAGTTGGTATACTCGATTTCATTAAATATGAATAGGGTATGGTACCTTGTCACAGCTTCATAAAACACAGTCGTAATGCAAAATTAGTTTTACGAATTCACAAGTCTATACAAACATTTACAAAATATGTCTGTAACTGAGAATCTGGATATAAATCTAAAAGAGCTTTCTGTAGAAATAATTATCAAAAGTTATCATCTGCATGCTAATAAATAATCAACATTATTGCCTATAACATATTGGCATGCTCCCGATACAGATCTAGCTTATGTCAGGAACTCCCATGAATACAGCGGATACATTCCGATAAGAATATACTATTATGGCAACACTGCGAACATTGTAATACGCGGGCTTGAATAAATTAACAGTAAAACATAAATACATCATAAATATCTATGTTTATTGTATGTCAACAGACTTGCCACGGAAAGAACATTGAAATCGTTTCTAAACAATTAATTAGCGATTTGACTATTAAAATGCCGTAGACGAATCGTGCCGCGCTAATGACAGACCACCTACGTCAGATTACAAAACTAATACCGAGTTAAAAAACAGGCACACGTAAAAACAATTATGTTTGACCGCATTGCCATAAAAGAGAGTAACATGACCAATTTGAGAGCAATTAAGGAGTCTAATAGCAGGAAAGGATAGCGGGGTACGTGAGCGTCCGCCCACCTCTGCTTAGCCTTCATGTTTATTCTATGATCCTAGAGATAATAAATATTTACATAAACTTTCCATTTTTGAATATACATAGGTATCAATTGAACCATTAGGTTTCCTTAGGGGGTCTAGACGATCGCTATCAGGAATATCAGGTCAAAAGTATTGTGTCTTCGATCTAAATGTTAGGTTAAACGTAATAGTGGAGAATCAATATTAAAACTGATAGAGTACGTAACTGGCAAGCATTTTTACTGATTGATATAATTATAGGCATAGCTATAGGTGGACGCTTCGCTGGTTAAGCGATCGCAAGTGTAAATGCCGAGAGAGCTCCCGGTTTCGATTACAGAGTTCAGCAAACTAAAACCGTGATTTTTAGAAAGGTCTCGTAATGATACGGTGATAGGAATTTTGGTCGATACATGGCAATAGGTCCCGAAGTGGGAACTCAACAGGATTAAAGATTGATACCTGACTTGGAAATTGATTATAACATGTACACAAATGTATGAAACAAAACAATCATAGTATGCTTTTATAATAACTATCCTTAGACATACTAAATTAACTAAAAATCGCGGGTTACTCATATGATACTGAGAAAAGCTCTACTAGTTTCGAACCACAGAGGGGTTTTTCTTCATGAGCAGCGTGCGCGGTCGCGGCGATATCGCGCAGACAGGCTGCATATTTTATTATTAAATTCATTTATGTAGTATGCTTTTACTTAAATAAATGAATTTAATGATTAAAATATGTATGTTAATAAGCTTAGAACAATTACGAGTGCTACACATTAAGAGGGAGTGCTACGAAATGCTACGCGCTGCATTGTGAACACTATTGGATCGTGTACCGTCACCGCGTCGAGAGCGTGAGAGATCTTGCATACAGAGGTGCGAATGTTTTGTTGTATGTAATACTATTACGAAATTTTCACAGTTAATATATATTTTAGATCTTAGTATTTATGATTAACACTTAGAAGTTGAAGAGTAACTATTGAGCTTCTTGAATGTTCCTTCCCATACGAATCTACAATTTAGAACGAGCAGCTAACTTTAGTAATGGACTGTATTCACCTAGTCCAGATTTACATGGAAAAAAATACTATAAAACATCTAAGGAAGTTATTTTTGCGCACATTTTTTCACTGGTCTAGTAGATGGGGACTTTTTTATTACAGGATTACAGTTTCATTGTTATAATAATTGATCCCAAACGTTCATGCCACATGCCACTTTATAGTTTTTTGGGAATTTATGCAAGAGCAAGTTTAATTTGACCGGGCTATCTATACAGATAAATAAAATTAGAGTGTCTGTTTGTAATATTAAAATAACAGCTTTATACTGCATGCATATGAAAACACATACAATACACATACAAGAATATCACTTTTTATAATTTTTGTCTATCCAGTACAAGCAGATAGGAGAATAGGTCGAGCCATTCCAGAATGGCTGGACCAATTTTTACGGTTAACGGGGCCTAATTAGTAGGTAGGTGTTGTAGTAAGGAGTAACATAGACTACTTTTATCTGGGAAAAACGAAACAAAAAAAGTTATTTCTTAAAATTCTACGCCGACGAATTCGCGGGCAACAGCTAGTACTTAATAAGATTGTAAGCCAAATTATCGTTAATATGTTCAATGGCTGACATCTGAATAGTCGCAAATTGTTGCTAGCGGTGTGTTCACAATAGCTGTAGCTGGTCGCAGCACACAATGTAGTTGCATCAACATCGTGGGTGGTCGGCTGTCACTCAGCGCGCTGTAATCAATTTGTTCGGCGCGGCATACCCCTTAGCCCTCAACACTAGCGACGTGCATCATACATGCAGTTTTCGTCACGCATCCTGCAAGCGTTTGTCTATTAATACGTCCCTGAGCCGTGAGAGAACGACAGGACAAAAAGTTGCCACATAATTAAGCTTCGCTTACTACATTACAATAGAATTATTATAATAGGTCTTGAAGAGCTTCCAATTATAATTCCATACAATGTATTGCTAACTGGAAATTCAGGCAACCACAAAATGTATTTTTCATATTCCACTATATTGAACTTAATTACTATATTTCATTTTTTAATTTGTTACGGTCTATCACCTACAATAAGATACAGTCTACAACAGTCTGAAAGTTAACCGTCCATAAATAAATAACAAGAATATAATAATGAAGTAAGCGCAACGGCCAGATCATATTTAAAGAAGACCACCCACGTAGAATAGTTTGCGGCTAACTTATGGTCAAGTTTTGCAAACAATGCCATTCCTAGTGTAGAATGACTCAATTAGCAGAAGGCAGAGATACAATGGGCTGTAACTTGCTGTGGGCAGGGCGACGTACAGCTCACTCGGTTATGATCCTAAAAGGAAAAAGATGTTTAAATAGTGACAAAAACTTGAAACTTTGTACAAACTATCCCACGATAAACCAAACAGTGACATCACAAAAATGGAAAGTAAACAGCATAATCAATCATTAATGGATAATTGTGGCGGCACAGGTCAGCTCTGAGAAAAACTGAAAGTTAATGAAAGGGCAGGATGTCGTCCGTTCCCAGATGACTTTTTTCATATTTTTTCTTTGCTTTAGTCAAGGTGGCATTCGGATGCTGAACAAACTTAGCTTGGAGCGCAACATCGATAATTCACTCCTCAATCTACGCTACATCTCGGCACTGTGTCCACTGCCTCGAGTCACGATGCTTCCTCAATGATACAATATGTCAAACTCTATATGTTCTAAGTTTAACTGAAATAAACTTCTAAGTAACTTCTAAGTTTAAGTGAAATAAAAAAGTCTTGTTGTATTTAGAAAATGTCAAGTGATATTTTCTAAACAACTAATTATTTTCATTGAAAGAAAAACTACGTACTAAACGTATAGTTACATGAATGAATTGTATGACATAAAACTCCATAAAGCCATACAACGATGCAAAAATAGTAGGTATGAATCAATGCTGCCTGAAAATCCGTTATAAATAAAGTTTCCTTAGGCAATCAAGCATAATAATTTATTTAATGTAAAACGTGGTTATAATGGAGACGCACATTTTACAGCAGGTCTCGAGGATAACCGTGCTTCCTGTGTAAGTCCAGTCAGCGACGCGACGCGACGCGCCGGTGGCGAGCGATCACAACGCGATTATTTACATTAATCCGTCGCGCTGTCTTCGCCCGGGACCGGGACAGATGACGAGCAGAATTTGCTCTTTTTGTACCGTAATTTAATTATTTTATGTAAATTGCGTCCATGAATGTACAGGAGTCTGGAATCAAATTGAAAATCTAAAGCGCAATTCCGTACCTACGTGCAATAAAAGTTTTTACCAGATATCCATGAGTTTTTATTTATCAATATTTTGTTGCTTATATGATATTATTCTACCCGTAATTTTGGTATTATTGTACAGTATCCATTTATCATTGGGGCGACACAGCTATTTCGCATCATTTTTTGTGTCGCGTAGTTCGGTAAGCAGTAATCGTTAGTTGTGAGAAGTCTGCTCCTGTGTCAACAAGAGCTAAGGAACTATTAGCACAGAGCCGTCGGCCGGGTGACCAGCGTGTTTGCAGGTTCGGTTAGCGGCCGCTTGTTACCTCCACTGCCACCGGATAAACAAAACACGGCGACGGTGTGACACCAATTGGCCGACACTTTAGCATTGTTACGCGATGTTGTGCCCATAGATAACGACCACAATAGGACTCTTGAACAGACTTGAGTACTTTGTAAAAAAACTACGAGTAGTAAGTACCTAAGCGGCTTTGTGAATGAAAGATAAAAAATAAAATAGAATAAATCTTTTGTATATTTAATTGCTACACTTAGTGCTGGACACCTGCTGACATAAATGTTTTAATTAAACGGTTACCTCATTAATGCGGTCGCATGTCAGTGTCGCACTGTCGTCGCACTTTAAATAAGTAAACAATCTGTTTAATTATGAACGATATAATAAGTACAAACAGCATGTTAACAACCCACAACGTGTACTAACATCGGCATTATAATTAGTGAGAGTGCGACACGCAACTTCGTATTACTTTAAGGGTGGGTGAGCACTGAGCAGTAAGCACGTCTAGTTTTTTCCCCATCTCGTTGTTAACCTACCCCGCGGTATTGTGTGAGTAAGCTGTGTCTGTGTACTCAGGACGGAGCACAGTAGCTGTTTGTGCTACCTGTGCTACGCTCTACCTGCGCAACCTACACAACGCTCACAATCCTTATCATTATATAAAATACAACAAAATCCAACAGCAAATACTCCAACGAGGATTTTGAAATCAAACAAACCGAATGCAATAAAAACACAATAGTGAAGATCACGGAGAGATCGAGTGGGTAGACTTAGCTCCATTCTATTTTAAATTAATCCTTCTAAGGTTTTACGTTTACTTGACCACAACTTTATGTCGGAGAACAACCAAACATAAATCTCACCGAGAGACGTGTTTAAAGCGAAAAAAGTAACACATGTCCAAACCATGTTTTAGAGGGACTAATTTCCTTTGGGGATTTCATATTTTTTTCTTTTGTTTTTGTGAGGAAACAAGAGCGAGATACCACCCACGACGATTTACGAAGGCTTCGCATGAATGTGAGTGATATAGTCAAATAAAAGCATTAATGTTAACACTGTTGTTTATGAACGACACTGAGTAAGACGGATATTACGAGTAGCGTTGAGTAAGAGAGTACAGACAGGTGCGGCAACTCTGAATGGCCAGCATACGTTTAGTACACATACTGCCAGTCAAACTTGGAAAGCAGTGGGAGGGATGTAAGTTTCAGTATAGCGGATGTTTAGGAACAGATTGTTACAATTTAATCAAAAATCTATTAAAAGAATATTATATAAGTGGGTTACTGTCTACTGTCCTCGATGCTCCCTTATATTTTTCTTAAGGTTCGATAGCAGGTAATTCAATTATAATAAAAGGTGAACTTTCAAAGTTTAAGAAATCTAAACTGACCTAATATTTAAAAACAGAAAACTAAAATGTTTACACTACACTGCGTAAAGGATTTTTTGTTGACGGTACGATGTGTCACCTGACATTGTGCTTGCGATAAGGGAAATGTGCCTCAAGGCATTTGACGAGAGAGGCTGGTACCTCGGCAGGGCATTGTGCAGGTATGTTTTAATATTCGCCATGAACTCGTCTTTCTCTAATGAACCACAAATGCACAATTTAAACAACAACAAAAATAATAATTCAGCTGCACGTCATGTAAGCCTGATGTTTGAAAAGTCAAACAATAATTCAAGATAAATTCCAATTTATTATAGACGCTAAGAAATTAATAAAACATTTTATTTCAACATTTTCATTCGGCTGTGCTCTCAATCAAAAATTCCAGAGGTTTGACCGTATAACAAGAGACCGCGACCGCGATCCCCTTTGACCAGACATTGTGAAATATGACGGTCGCTATACACCATGCAAAAAATAAAACAGTTTACTTATAACAACCACATTCAAATGTACAAAAGCTCGTTTTATATGCATATAACCTATACTTAAATTATCTGCCGCAAAAGCACGACTCAAAGAACATACCTCATTTTATTATTCTGGTAAATTAAGTTCTTACGACCTCATAATAATTAATTGTCTTTAGATTTATACAGGTCTTATTTATGGTGACACGTTATTCTTATCCGATCTCAGAAATGGATATAATGATGTGATTATCAGGTTTTATAATCGTTTGATACGTAGTAATACGCGGAGAGACCATAGCGCCTGAACCTCATTTAGAACGCTTCGCGAGCTGAAAATATGACTGTATGCATAGGGCGATAATAAAACGAACGAGCTGACATTCATCTCGGATTTCGTTATTCTTGTATCTGTTGGTATCGGTTAGTATAAACAGATAGATAGACAGACGCTATGTTTAGGAGTGGTTGTGAATCGTCTTGGGTGGTCCGCGTTGGCGCGCGGCGGGCCGCGAGCGCTGGCAGGCGGACAGAATAAGGCCGAGATTTGTACGATATCGCGCGCTCCAATGAAATTGAAATAGATAGCGAGTTGGGATTTATCTCGCGTCACATCGAATCTAGTGCACCGGTGCGCCTAGATAATATGTCACCTCCGAACATTTACCAAGCCATATCTCCGCCGCCATTACGGACCGGTGCGAACAACCAACAAGCCGTGACGAAATCGTATAAGATTACAATTTAGATTTAATTTTATGTCTACCAGCTACTTTATTACTGGCAGAAATGCCATTAAAATAAATTTAATGTTTGTCAAGCGTTGGATAATTTCCCAATAAACGGCATTTAGACCTATTTGTAGCGGTATTGCAAAATGTACCTAAAGATATGAAATCAATTGACACTGGTTTACATTTTATGATCCTTGCTCCCACACAAAATTGCTTATTTATAAAATTAGTTGGTAGTAAACAAAAGCCGCCTTTGAGACTTTTAATTATTTTCCATAAACAGAAACGCCCAGGTGATAATAAAATTAACGTTTTGTTTTACGATATGTTACACATAATATGTAGGTGGAGCTTACATTCAAATACCTGCATATTAACTTGAATGAGATACTCTTATTTTTATCTTTGGGCTGTTCCCCAGCTATAAACCTGCAACTACTGAAATAGTTAATGCAGGCAAACAGTTCATTCCGCAGATAAGAAAAACTTTCTAACCAAACATTCAATTTACGGCTGTGTTTGATAACCGATGTTTTGAAAAAAAATAAAGAAAAAACAAAGAATGTCAAAAATAATTACTTTAGGATTAAGATTGTTTATTATTTCGGTCATCCTAAGTCAAAGTGATGTCAAAATATAACAGAAAATAATTTTACATACGAACATTACGTACTATCATTAAGGACAAGTAACACATCAAGCTGACGAGTAGGTTGCCAATGGCGTTAAACCTGACTCATTGAATAAATCAACAAACACAACAAATTACTGAAACAAATTTTCGTAAATGAGTCAAATTAATAATTCCTCGAACGATTCCAACAATCATTAGAGTTGCCTGCAAAGCTTTTCTCGTGTGTAGTCCAGTTCCGCATATGTAATTATAGGCTCTAGAGGTTTATGAGGTTCCAGCCGAAGTAGGCTTCGGGGTACTGTGGGGTACTCAGCCTGACCTTCCGAGAAGTGTATCAGTTGGCACAGAGTCGCGACCACCCAAGTTGTATTGTGCTTCTGTCACCTTTTGTACGACACTTGACGCTATTATTTCACTGAACAACATTCACAATAGCATTAAGCCGTCTATATTATTGTTTGTTACACGATTTGCTTGAACATTTTATGGAATAGTGACGGCACATGTTTTTTTCTCTTTTATGACTTATTGACTTAAAGTCCTATGTCCCCTGAATGAGGTACTTACAGGGCGTCCACAGAGGTTCTCCATTAGGATCATGATCTTGAACTTTATGCTTCGTGTCAACACTTCTTAATACCAATGTCTGAAATGATCCAGACATTCAATGCGTAACTTACTTATATATCTTTAGCAAAAGTGGAAAAACATAAGCTGATAAAAGAAACAAATACTTTTATCATTTACTAGCTTCTACTGTCAGCTTCGTCTGCGTAGAATAGTGAGTTTAGATATATGTTGTCCAGGCTTATTAGCTATACCTACAAAGAACACGTTTCATTCAAATCCATCCATAAGTTCCAGAGATTTACAAACAGACGAACATACTAACAATTTTTAGTTTTCTTTTATATTCTTTGTAAGTATTTTTAAAGTTAGTTGTTTTTTTCTATTACTGATTCTTTATCGCCCAATTTTAGTTTTATTGAAAAATCCTTAATGAAACTTTATAGACACACTTTTACTATGACTGTTTTATTATATGTATGTATGTACATAATTATAATAAAACAGTAAAGTATGTATCTATGTAGATATATAGATTACCTTTTTTAAACGGTTTTATTTAAGGGGGGAAAATCATCGAATGAGTTCTCCCGCCTGGGTGAGGCGGGAGGGATTGTCAGACTCTTACTGACTAAAAACCACCCCGTTCCATCTCCTGCGTTTTGAGCCGGAGCCCCGGTAACCCGTTAAGTTCTCCGCAACTCCGAATCGACATCAGCCCAGTTGGGCCCCATCTGTGGTGGTCTGATGACTCTTTGAGGCACGGGCGGAACGCGACGCGCTGTACTCTCGGGTATATAGATTACCTAGGTCGCAGTCGTACAGCACAATAAGCAAACGAGTCAATGTCCTAGAAGTTTAAGAACAAAAATAAAGTAGGTACGCAAAAGTAAAGTAAGTAAAGTGCACAAAATTAAAGTCATCTTACTAATATTATATAAATGCGAATGTTTGTGAAGAGTTTGTGTGTATGTTTGTTAGGCCTTAACCACGTAAAAAGGGCTGAAGGAACCAGGATGAAATTTAGAACAGCAGCAGATTATAGTCTGGAATAACACATACCTATTACGCTTCTATTTATGCCATTGGAACGCGGGCAAAGCCGCTGGCAGAAGCTAGTATTTAAATAAATAAGTACCTAACAAATCATTTGTATATCTTATCTATTTGGATTTTCCAATATTTGCTAAAAATGTACCTAAGTGACGCATACATAGGTTGATAGGTCAATTTTAATAAACAATACGTCAACCGTGATTAAAAATATTACCCGAAGATAAATATTATTATGATTTTAAGAAAATACCTACATTTACTCCTCCCTGTACCAACTTCTACGAATCCCTGTTGTACCTGTCACATGGATGCAAAGGCTCTGCACAGCTCCGGTTACTGGTTAAAAGTATTTCCATACTGATTTATTTGACTTCTCAAAACCTTAATTTAAAAAGTAAGCATCAAAATTGTAAGTAACGTACCTACTTAATATTTCTTTCAAATTCTTTATTGCTTTCCACGTTTGGCTTAAATTCTAAATTGTTTTTTAATTGAAATAATGACAGGGTGCGAAAATTAAAAATATAATTAGTCTGTAAGATAAGTAATGAAAAAATATTAGACAAGTATTTTCTTATTTTGTCGAATAACAAAACAATACTTAGATAAAACGAATCAAATTTTAGAAGTGGGGGCTAAAACGTCATCTCAATTAGCAAGTAAGTCTGCTGGATTATTAATAAATGCGGTATTTTCAGACCGGTACTATAGGTATTAGGTACCTTCGAATTAAAACACATAAAAGGTAACTCTTCTTAAAATTAGGCCCTAATACAGTGAAACCTGGTTAAGTGAGACATCAAGGGACCTGCAATGTAGTTTCACTTATAGAGGTATTCCACTTACCCAGTGTCTCAGATATACAGGTATAAATAAATATCTGTCTCATTTACAGAGGGTTCCATTAATAGAGGTGGACTTGGAATTACGTGTGGAATTTGTGGGTAGAATAAGAATGAGTAAACAAACAATGTTATCTCAGTTACAGAGGTTTTTGCATATAAAATTTACTCGCTATCTCAGTTATAGAGGTAACTATGATGATAAATCGAAAGAACAAATCCCAGATATAGAGTTTACCTCGTCCCGCTAACAGAGGTAATTCAGTACCAAAGTGTTGGGACCTCAGCATGAGTTCCAGTTATGGAGGTTTCTCACTTATCCAGGTCCCACTTAACCAAGTTTCACTGTACAACAGTACCCACTGCCCCACCAGAAACGCCAAGGAATACATGACGCTTATTTTAATTTCTATGCTTTTAATTATGGTATAAAGCTCTAGGTGAAAAACGTTTAATTCAACTAAATTAAGTAACGAAATTAAATGTTGGAAATAAATCTCACTAAAACCTCCCTGGCCACCATCCGCACCTGAAAGAGGCACCGGGTTCTCTTATCTATTAGGAGGACCCGGTGCCTCTTAATAAATCTATTATTTATATTATTTATAGTATTTCCCCGGGGTTGGTGATTGTCATACTTGTTTTTGGCGATTGAAATACTTGGAACCTATACACAGTTAGAAAGACTCAACTTAGAAACAAAACTTCATTCCTACAAAGCCAAACAAAGGAACAAAAGCGACACCATTTACACTAAAAGCGTAATTTGCAAGTCAAAAATGTTTTGACTTTTTATTCAGCTACCGAATAACTTCGTAACTTTCCATGGCTGCAGTTTGGTGAACAATGTTGCAAATTAAATGGGCGGCCGTCGAATTCGTGCGACAATCGGCACGGACTCAGACGCGTGACCTGCCTGCCGAGTGCCACTCTTGTTCAGCGTTTATGACGGCTATCCATCTTTGAAAGTCGTTGAGGTTAATCCCGAGTGCATCGAACACTAACAATGTAACGCTGTCTAACCGTCTTATAACCACAACACCAGTTTTGAGAACACATTGTGTTGAAGAGCCTTGGTCGTAGGCATACTTATTGTTGGACATTTTCGTGGATATGCAGTCTGCTGAGTAATTTATGATAACATTCACCCTTCTAAGCTAATTATTTGCCTCGTTAAATAAGGCACTTACACAGATATATGATACATAGGTACGTGATTACATAAGTGATTGCACAAAGAATTCAGACTATTGGGTAATATATGGAGCGTAATTTAATTCACATTAGGTACGAGTCGGCTGACGGGCAGTCGTTTAATCTTTTCATTGGCAGAGAATGAACCGAGCGCGGTGGCCCGAGGTGACTCACGCCACCGACTGTCAGCTCAATCCTTCATCTTCAACGACTGCATGACAAAGACTGATGCAGACATAGACACATTAGGGCTGCTACGAATTCTACGAAGTATACCTTCCTGGGACTCATCAGGAAATATTTTGTAAGGATAACATTAAAGACAAACAACTTGGCACTTACCTTATCCACAATACATTGATCCTAGAAATGCGAGAAAAGGTTGTCGCTCCTCATTGCAATAAAAATCAAAGTACCTACTCACGTACAAGTAATTTCTGGCAAATTGAAAAGTAAGTATGTAGACAATTCAACTTCCCGTCTATAATCTGATTATCTCTCGACCCACGCTTTCGATCGAGATTGTTAACTTATAAGGGGAATACTCGGGACTTATACGGCCAAATAGCATGTCTAAATACAGTTTCGAAATCAAAACATGAATGTAGTTTATAGTTTTTGTGTGATCGGCTACCGCACACGGCTCTCGCGAACCTCATTCATCAGCTCTGATTGATTGCAACTGTCAAAACGGTAATGGCGGCGAGTACGGCCATATTGGTCCCGATGAATGCACCTAAGCCAATATTAATGCGTGTTATTGATGGGCCGACGCCAAGTTCACGGTTACTTATTAGATGTGTAATTTATTAAACATTCTGTGGATACGCGTTTAGACTCAATTAATTTGAACCTATGGTATTAAGTACTATAGGAATCTACAATCTATTTAAAGAAAGGGTTGAACTGTTGCAGTCAAAATCCTGCGATCGATGTGATCTTCATTTTTTTCTGGTCTTCGCTCTGTTGTTTTTCGAAGTTATTTGACAGTTATCTTTACAAACTGTGAGATCAAGACGTCTGATTTTTACAAAACTCCTACTTTTCAGTTTCGTTTACAATCCATAATTTTGCCAACTACCTATATTCTTGACTATTTTGAATTGAGCTGACTTCTACGGTGCGGCAGCGACCTAAATCTTGTTTCAAAGAAAGTGAAACTATGTGACTCTGACTAATGTTTTGTGTGCAGGATTTCGTTACGTAGCATTTCCGTTGCTTTATTTTTTCGATTCAAAAGGAGAAACATGTTTTGAGATGCGATGTTAGCAGTCACGTTAAACAGATTGCCGCAATCAATCTTTAATTGAATTCGTATCGCCTCTTCCATCTTCGACAAATAATAATAGTATGCAACATACGAACTTGATCGGTACAAGACGAATTGGATTCTTCAATAAATATTTTGTATACAGCGGGCATCAATCTTGCAGGTTTAAAAAGGTGGCATTCAATGTTGCGGTAATATAAATTACGACAATCAATAAAGTGGCGTGCGTCAATCAAGGCATTGTGTGAGCCATAGGTAGCGGCGAGTTGTAAAATTGATATTAAGGGTCCGTGGTCGGTGACGTCAGCTCGCCCGGTGGTCGCCGTCGATGCTCCAGTGCTGCACGTAACACGGACACACGCCCAGATTATCTACTAACTAGCATTGCTCTGTGACACGCTGACAGTGCTGAGACGTGCTCTCTGACACTCATCTTTTGAGATCTAATGTAGATAATGAGACAAGGATCTTCAAGCCGTCTCTTAGTTAGGATGGTCGATATGGTAGAAAAGAAACACTCCATCAAGATTCAGATAACTTTATTCAATAGGTACTAAAATATAAAGTCCCAAATTTGACACGACTGAATAGTTTTGTACAACACCGGTCAACCACGCAATGACCGACGAACGGTTTCTACGTCCATCACATGTATTCGGACATTTACAAATATCAATAAAATAAAATATTCTTTTACACAATCCCACGTCCTAATCTAAAACAGTTTTAGTGTATAAATTCGACACAATATTAGTTTATTTACATGTAACAACATTCCACTAACATTTTATCTATTCAACCTCAACACGCCCTCTCCAAACAGTACGATTGCACATGTAATGAGTAATTTGTATAAATAAATAATTTAATGTGAATAGTTGAGTACATTAGTAGTACATAAGATATGTTTCTTAAACTCATTAAACCGGAGAAAGTAATAAACGGTAACATATTTACAGACAGACCACATCGCGCAATACTAACGTATCTTCATGTTCCAGTAGTGAGGGAATGCGACTTGCGTGGCGAGTGAATCACTACGACGGGAAATAAACGAACGACATACCTCCAGATATTTAGTAGACAACTACTTAATAATGTAGTCTCATTAATTGTACCTGAAAAAACGACATCAATTTATTACTTCAACGATCGCTTGAATATAATGGAAGTTTGTGACTTGAATACTTTATTGAATCACTGCTTGCATTACCAATTAACTTGAATTTTAAAGTATTTGCTTCGTTTTTGTATAACTATTGTGAGATACACTAAATTAATTGAAAATAACGGCTTACTCATGTGATTGAGAAAAGCTCTACTAGTTTCAAGACAGAATGGGACTCTTATTTACCGAGTATCGAGCATCGCGCGCGATGCGGTGACTTCACGCAAACAACTTTTTTTTTTCTTAATGAATTTTAACACTTCATAATAATATTCGAATTATTTTATTTTTATGTTTAGTATAAACAACTTATACGTTTCAGTGATTGGGGTATATAAAAAAAAACAATCAAATTCATTTGTATGACTATATGTACGTACTCTAGCTAAGTTCGAATCCAGCGCCGGCCTGTATGGCGTAGAGCAGTTTCTCAGTGAGCTGCTCGTCCGTGTGGAACTCTGGCAGCTTCAGCAGGTTCATACACGTCGACGACGACGGCAGCCGGTCTGACGCACCCGCCGACTGGATGCAGAATGGTGGCTGCAGGTCCTGGTGTGCCAAATATAAAGATAATATTATTGACAACGATTGAACACATATCATCACACGTTTTTTACGCAGAGGTGCGCATTACGGCACTTAATGCCACTGTACAATGTATCACCCACTTTTCATTATTTATGTTATGAGTTCCATGTAATAGTGGGAGCCTATTGCCATATATCAGGCACAATTACAGACTCCGTGCTACTACTGAGATTTTTTTAAAACCCAAACGTGCTTTGGCCGACCTGGGAATCGAACCCGAGACACACTAAAACTTTGCCCATCAGTCGCACTTGGCGTGATCACTCACAACGAGGTAGTCTGGCAAAAATTGACTACAAGATTAACGCAGTAGCCTGGTTAGGCACCCGTTTACAGTATAATGCGTGCGTGTTCAAAACTCGTACGGGCCAGTCATTTGTATGAAACAATGCAATGCAATAAATACTTGATTACATTGTAGGTACATTTACATGATACAGAAAAACTGTAGAATAAAGATGATTAGGTATACTACATTGTTCGGGATCAAAAATATATATGCAATAATAAACCAGTTTAAGAGGAGCCGGGTACACCTGAAATAAAAGACCAATAAACAGAGAGTAAAAACACACCTTAAAGCCAAGTAGTGGCGGCCTGGAGCAACTGGTGACAAACTTCAACAGTTGTCGCCTCTGGTCGTCTGTGAACGTGGCCAACACGCGCCAGAAACATTGCACCGTCGGGTGCTGCGCTGAGAACCCGCCTGTAACAAACACGTGGTACTTACTTATCAATACGATGTCTCACTAAACTAGGATTATAATTTTCTATCATCGTTTGTAGACATCGACTTACGTCCAATTTCAATAACCTATCTATCTGTAGATATGCTTACTAGAGATAGATTTTTGACACGTTTTGTATGGAGCTCATGTCAAAATTCTATCTCTAAATTAGACGTTAGCGAGTTACAGCTAGCCCGTAATCATGAATAATATTTATGGAATATAATGTACTATTAACTCGTCGAGTACCGTATTTATAGACACAATTAAAGAACAATAGGTTGCGGTCACCGGTGACCGCTTGGTGTTTGACAGTTTAAGTAACATTCAAATCAGAGGAAGACTAAGCTGTCCTGATCGAATAGACATCGATGTCATAACTTCAGCCAACCATCAAAACTTTTCAATAGATTTTCAACCTTATTGCAAATAACAATATGCTTAAAATTTGAAACATTTCCCTATAACCTACCCATTGAAGAAAAGCCTTACAAATGTGAGTATAATTAATTACCTGCATAGTGGGTATGTCTCCTCAGGTCCTCTATGTCGATGGGTACCTCGGCCCCGGATATAAGCAGTTGTAGCTCTCTACACGAGAACATACGCAACCACTCCGCGCTCACTACTGACACTAGCCCACGCTTGAACGCAGTGCATTGGGACCTTATTTGTCTGTAAACATAAACAAAAAAATGTTATTCAAAAAACCAAGAAAAGAGACCTGTTAAGCTTAACGAACTCATAGTATTAGAATCAAAGCGAACGATTAAATATTTACTTACTTGTTCAATTTGTAATCAGCGACTAGATGTATGTATTCTATTCTATTTTCAGCTGTAACGGGAATATTTGCGCCACCAGGTTTTAATTCCTCTATCTGCAATAGCAAACAATACAAATGAAATTTAATATCGACATATAACATACTGATTCAATGTAGGACCGAAATACTCTCGATTATATTAAATATTATAGCAACTTGCGTAAAGAAAATTGAGTACATTCCTTAATTAAAAATAAATTATTTCGACTGTTCAATACAACTAAATATTAAAAAAATAATCACACTTTCATGAATTGATTTTATGATCAACATGATTTTAGTATAAAAAGTATTTTTCCAGTAATTTTTTAAGAAATAAGTAGGTTGTTTGACGCTAAAAAAACGTGACGTTATAATACAAAATCTCGTACAAAATTCAAAGAAAACTGTCGTTGTAGACAGTTCAAAAAAAAGTATTGAATTTGACAAGTAAGGCAAGTACTCAATAGCGCAAACAATTACATTGAGCAAGTTGCGCACATGAATGCGCAAAAGAAATCCGTTATTTGACGAGGCACACTAAAATGCGGAGTGGAGTATGTGTACCCTCTGCTCGCCCAGCTCGTCGGTGAGCAGCGTGAAGTCGAGGCCGAGGTCGGGCACGTCGCGGCGGGCGTGCGCGCGCAGCAGCAGCAGGCCGCGGTGCAGCGCGGGGTCCAGCGACGCCAGCGCGTGCACGGCCGCCTCGCCGCCGCCGCACAGCTTGCCCAGGAAGAACTCCGCCAGCGGCAGCTCCACCAGCAGGTTCTCGTACATCGCCTGCGGACACAGCGCCAGCTCCGTTATATCTACTCACCATCATAACATCTCTTGCATGCCAAAGATCTTATATGTAACCAGTTTAACTTCTTTCTTGAAAACCATGCAATAAAGTTCATTGTCACATACCAGACACCAATCCAAATTCGTGCTATAAGTTACCAATATTCAAAACATAACATCACGCCTTTTATCCCCGAAGGGGTAGGCACAGGTGCACATTATGCCACTATACAATGTAACACCCACTTTTCACTATTTATATTATGAGTCCCATGTAATAGGGGGTGAGCCTATTGCCATATACCGGGCACAATTTTAAACTCCGTATTACTACTGAGACTTTTTTAAACCTAGTAATACTTCGCCCGACCCGAAAATCGAACCCGAGATACCTTGCCCGGCAGTCGCACTTGCGACCACTCGGCCAACGAGCCAGGCAATATTCAACTTAAAATTAATTAATTATCCTACCAATACTACAATTTAACCTTTTTGGAACCTAAAATAACAATAATGTTTCCATTACAAGTTACCTTTCCCAGCATCCTGCCGACGAAGTAGTAGTGCATGGGGAAGTCATCGTACAGCAGGTGCACGGCGGGGTTCGGGTACAACATGTTGTCTATTGTCAGCCGGAACAAGCCTCTGTTGGGATCAAATGCCGATCTGAAACAAAAAATTCAGCATAATTAAAAAACCATTTTCCAAACCACATTCGTCAATAATGTTATGAATAACGAACTGACACAGAATCTTTACATCAATGTCTTTCATTCATAGCGCAATAATTAGCAATTTTATTTTATATTTTGTGAAACAATATAAGGATGATAGTAGATTTCTTACTTTAGGAGCTCAGAAAGAAACTCTCGGAAGAGTCCACCGCCGTCGACACCAGCTTCTTCCGCACCGGCCTGGTTGATCAGTTGCACGCGAAGTTTCAGCTTTAAATCGGGTTCTACAAGGAAAAGCATGATTTAATTAGTACTTAATTATCACTAACAATAATTAATATCGATGCGCAGCATTATAATTACAAAAAAAAATCAATCACATTTTCTCATTTTTCAAAACATAAATATTATTTCTGTATCTGTCTGTAAGCAGTGCCACCCTCTTACTTGCGCAAATAACATTTCTAAAAAAAAAACCTAAAGCAAGCTTCTAATTATGTAAAATGTAATTAGTTAATTACCATTATCCGGGCTAAGTTTATCAAATGCATCTTCATATAAATGCGTCCGTCGAACACTGATGTTGATTGAGGGTCCCTCGTTGAAGTTCGTCATTTCATACCAATGGTCATGCTTCTCCCTAAAAACATAAAAAAGTCAAATTATCGTATGACCATTAAATAGGGATGATGATACTTCATTATCAATAGATATAAGTTCTTTTGTTGTGTCACTTACTATAAGGGTTAGATTTGTGGGGAAATGTTCGATATTGTATTTGGTTATTCATGAACTCAAGGGCATAAAAATATAAAACAATTAACATAAAATACAAAATTATATTGGCACGGTACCTGGCTAAAAGTCCTTGGAAGATAAGGACACGCGTTGAGAATGGCACGACGAATGGTATCTCCTTCAGTATGGTAACGGTTCGCAACTCCTTGATAGTTAGCGGTGGTCCCTCATCTGTAGAAATGGGGTGAACATTTTACATTTTGAAGCATATATCAAAAATAAACTAGGTATTTTCAAATTATATGACAGTAAATGGTTTTTTATTAACTAAAAATTGCGGTTTACTCCCGTAAAAATACTGAGGAAAGCTCTACTAGTTTCGAACCATAGAGGGGTTCTTCTTGTATTATATTAGTACTAGCTACCTCCGCGCGGTTTCACACGCTCTCCTTAGCTCCTATTGGTCGTAGCGTGATGTTTTATAGCTTATAGCCATCCTCAATAAATGCTCTATCCAAAACAAAAATAATTATTCAAATCAGACTTGTAGTTACGGATATTAGCGCGTTCAAACAAACAAACAAAAAAACAAACTCTTCCGCTTTATATAATAGTATAAGATTTTGACATGAGTAACCCGTGATTTTTAGTTGATAGGGTTTTTATGGTTAGTTAGTAATTGAATGAGTGGTAGTACGCACCGTTGGCGAGCGGGCGCGGCGCGGCGAGGCTGCGCGGGCGCCGCATGTGGTGCGCGCCGGCGGCCAGCAGCACGGCGGCGCCCCCCTCCGCCACCGCGCCCGCCGCCGGCCACGCGCCCGCGCCCACGAACCCCAGCCGTCCGTCGCGGGCGTACAGCGCGCGCAGCAGCGCCGTGCATACCTGGGACGGGCCACTCGTCATGTACTACACATTACTATACTTAGCGAGACGCATTGCGATATTATTATACTCAATAACGATTTTTTATTAGATAGGGTGGTAAACGAGCATATAGATCACCTGATGGTAATCAATCGGCGAAGCCCATGGACACCCTAACATCAAAGGTTGTTTTTGTCGGCCTTTTAAGTATTGAGAAACTGGGAATAAAAGGTGGATTGGCCGGGTACTCTCATTCATACGGCGAAATACAACGCAAGCGTAGTATCAAACCTGTTTCTTGTAAGGAAGTGCTATCATTTTCATTTCATTGGTCATAATTATCATTCAGAACATACTTTGAAGAGATGTGACCATGCGGGAGTTTGGTTCTTCCCGGAGATCTGTATGTGGTCGTTGTTGACGGCGTCCCTGTAGTGTCCGGCGACGGCGGGGCGCGACTCCGGGTAGGCCAGCTCCACCAGCCCCAGGCACACGGCGCGCAACGTGCGGCACAGCGCGCCCAGCTCGCTGAACTCGAACGCGTGCACGCGCCCGCCGCGCCCCGCGCCAGGCACCACCGACACGCCCACTGGACACATTGCATTGTAATAACCGGTGTGCATAAAAAAATGCCTAAATCTGTAAGCAACTGATTCAACATCTGTCATCAACATATCAACCACAAGACGTCTACTGCTAAACATAAACTTTTAAATAGTAACTCACTACTTTCACTAAACCACCTCAATAGACTCGGAAGTCACAGTTTATTTAACTCGTCGAGTACCGGTTTTATAGACACAATTAAAGAACAATAGGTCGCGGTCACCGGTGACCGCTTGGTATTTGACAGATTAAATTTGAAACAAAATAAAGTAGACTGAACTACTGAAACACTCACTAGAGATCTTCTTATCTTCATCAGGATCCCTGCAGAACTCAGCGTCATGCAGGGTACCGATGAGCAAGGCGAACAGTGCGCAGAAGACGGCGAGCGGTGCGAGGAGGCGGTGCAGCGCGAGTGCGCGCGCGTCGTGCGCCAGGCCGCGGCACAGCGCGGCCAGCAGCGGCGTGGCGGGCGCGCCGTACGCCGACGCGTGCGACATGCCCGACACCCACACCCACAGCCCGCGCAGGAACATCGGCTTGAACGCCAACGTGTACAGCAGTCTGCAACACCAACATAACATAGTTCATCAAAATCTTTTAAGCCTCGGTTTTTTTGCAAAAGATATATATACCTAAATTACTATTATTACTAACCTGTACTTATGCAGCGCCATCTTGTGACTTAACAACAAATTGTGACATATTTCCGACACACTATCCAAGAAGTCCTCACTGAGATCAGCGTCCGTGATTTGTGAGCACGTGGTCATGATGCAGCGCTCGGGGTCGTTCAGTAACTCAATACACCGCGTCAGCAATATTTGCTCTCTAACCGAAGTCGGGTTCGGTTCCTGCTCACTATCACTGTCATCATCCTTTTCAGCCACAGTTTCCTGACTGTACAACGAGTCTTCAAACTCATAAGAGATTTGCTTATTACAAACATTAACAGTTAACTTAGCAATAATTTTAAAATAGTCTAAAACAATAGGATTGTTCGGCAGTCTTGTGTTGTCCAGATTATGCACAACATTCACTGGAACAAACATGTTTTGATTAGAGCAATGGAAATACCACAAAAATGTAAGTGACAGTGTAAATTAGACCTTATTTAAAGATTCTTAAAGTTGTTATTACTATGACAAATCAGTTTATACAAAAATCTTACCAAAATCAGGTGGTTCTAGTGTCAGTACAGAATGTAGAAGCCAAGAATCGTTTTGTAGCACTTGACTGGTGAATTTTGAGTCTTCTCGGAGGGCCTGTGTGAGCGATAGGAACGGGAACTTCTTGTTTTGATCTTGCGCAAGCGCCGGTATTACGTACATTTCCACCGGCTCTGGGTAAGGGTTGCAGAGGAAGGCAGAAGCAAACTCTGTCATGATGCTGTCACTGGTAATAAAAGAAACGCAAAATGAAATTCATGAAACAATAAACTAATACTATAAAGATTTGTTAGGGTACTTACTCATAATGTGGAATATTAACACGTGAGATAAGGGTTAAAGGTCGCTGTATGAGATCTAGTAGGGCTCCACTGAGCGGCGTCGGTGGATTGGGAGAAGGCCCGTACAATGGCGGAGTCTTCTGGCACAATAGATTGCACAAATCTTGAAAATAACCTGAAAAACAACAAATATTGATGATAAGAATCCACTGACATGAAACTAAAATATTACGTAGATATCTGTTATAGATATATATAGGATAAACAGGACAAATATGGCAACTTTTTTATCATCTCTATTGATTTTACTGATTTGTTTATTTTTTTTGTTTTGTTTCCTATTATAAAGAAACCCGGATTGCCAGTTGAAGTAATATACAATATGTTAAATACTATAACTTCTTACCTCTTTTAACAAGATACAAAAACGTGTTCCCAATAATACTGAGTGCTTCATCACAGTTGATTGATGCCTCAGCTGTATTTGTAGATGTGAACACTTCAAACATTCTGAGTGGTACAGCTAGCGGTACCTGTGGGACATTAAATACATTTAATTAATATCTTTACATCAGAAAATGATGCATTTATAGCCACATTTATATTTTTTATTTTACTCACCTCACCATTTTCCTTTAACAAACGTAAGTGCAACACTAGCAATCTTCTGATCTGTACACAGGCTCCACAAATTTGATACACTTTTTTCCATTGTTTCAAAAGTAATTGGGAAACTGAAACCTGACAACAATACCAATATAATTCCATTACTAAATTTAACTGCCTCATTGGCCGAGTGGACGCAAGTGCGACTACCACGCAAGGGATCCCGGGTTGGGCACAGTATAACTGGGCTTTTTAAAAAATTCTCAGTAGTAGCATGAAGTCTGGAATTGTGCCCGGTATATGGCAATAAGCTCACCCCCTATTACATGAGACTGATAACATATATTGTGAAAGCGGGTGTTACATTGCACAGTGGCATTAAATGCAGTAATGTGCACACCTACCTACCCCTTCGGGGCACACCTTTTCAACATCACAGATGTTATGTTACTAAATTTGAATACCATACAGATACAAAATTAAAAAGAATACTTCATTTAAAAGTAATAAAATAATTATGACTTTTATTTCTTGAAAACACCAAAATGCTCTTTTATGTTAACATTAACTTAAAAAAGGTTTCGAAGTAAGGCAACTTCTAAGAAACTTAATATTCTTGTTAAAACCGTATCTAACATGGTAATCAGGAAAAAATGTGAACTTATTTCCTGGGTTTATTTACAGGAAACTATTATAATGCTTATTGGCTATTGTTATGTTAAATATTTCAATGGCTGGAAAATAAATAAATGCTTGTTTTCCAACTATTGAATAACAACATACCAGTCTAGAATAATCCTGTTGGTCGTCGTAGAAGAATAATATTTTAGCAACCAGTGCACACATCATTTGCTGGTCATCAGGATTGATCCTTGGAAATATGCTATCGAATTGGTCCCTTTCATGTTGCTTATAATGTTTTCTAGTAAGATAACTCCTTACGTAAGCCTGGATTTTTATTGTACTATTCAAACGCTTTCTGTGTTCCTGGAAACATAATATGAAATGTTTAACTTTTATTTCAAAACAGATGATGCAATGCCCACAGATAACATTGTGACAATTAACTTTTTAAATTGTGGTAAACAATACCATCTTTATTAATATAGCACTTAAGCATATAATTCAAATGCTATTACAATTTATTGTGAAACTACCTAAATGAAAACTGCAAAGTCATTGTATTGATTATTTAATGATTTAGTCATTTCATTATTTGGTAGCATGATAGACAGTTTTGCAAGTAGTAATCAGAAAAATCTTATATGTAAATACCAATATTGGGGTAAATTGGACAATGAATGTATTCCTGAAATGTATTGAGGAGAATATAAAAATAAATTACTTCCTAGAAGATTTCGTAAGAAGGTTGTACATAACTAAGCTGTAATGATGTTTAGTCTTGTGCACAAAATAGTTACATTGTTAAATATTGTACAGTAATTAGGGTGAAAGTAATCTTAAGCATAGTTATAGAAAGGTAACCTCTCTTTTCTGCCTTTGTTGTTGTGACTGCAGTATCAAGGTGTCTCTGTCTGTCTTGCGCTGTGCACTTGCACCAGCTAAGTTCTGCTGTGGCTTGCGCCTGAAGTCTCCCTCGAATGAATACATTGCTACAAATGAAAACAAGACTCTCAATGATAATATCTAAAAATATTTTGTAAACAACAATCAGCTGAACACATAGTTCCTTAATAATCAATCACACTTACCTTATAAGAACTCAATAATCTTGTATTATTTCATGGATAAATAAGTTCATACTAGAATTAAGTGAAATTAGTACACTCTATATACATCAAATGACACTGAATCAGTGAAATACCTTCAAGTTTTATTGGTTTTCTTCATACGCAATGAGTAAAGAGTATTATTGCAGATTTGACAGCAAGCAAACAGTTTCAGTGCTGCCAGATCATTATTTATGATTTGGATTTGGATGTTTGGTTACAAAATATAAGAATTATCTAATTTAAAAAGGTTCTAAATTAATATTATTGTTTAGTAAGGTTTATGTTTTGATGTTTTACTCAAGATTGTATTGGGCTTAATTGCTTTAGTTCAATAAATAAATGATATTAGATCAAAAAATAGTCGATAAGTTTTGCTAAAATAACACTACTCCAAGCACTAACTATCTAACTAAACCGTAGACTAAGACTAGGGTCACGAAAAAAGTATCGAAGCTTTGTGGTATCGAATACATTCCCATTCGATACCGATACTTTTGTACTCGATTTTTTGTATTATATACTTTTACTCAATAAGTATTTTTCCCGGGTATCATAAGGAATAAAAATAATAATTTAACAGCTTAACAGCGTTATATATCTAGCTCACTCGTTAAAACTTTTTAAGACATTCGATTGATTGAACTCATTCCCGTTCGGCTGTTCGCAGTTCAATTCCCAAAGTAGTATTCATTCCTGCGACGTCAGTGCTTTCAGAACGATTATTTTCTAAAGCAGGATACTTCCTGCTGCTGTTCCATTTTTGTGATGGTACTCCATCACAAAAATCCGAAACCACTTATCTCCAAAAAGGCTCAATAGATTTCTTTTATAAGTGACTGTATGGTGGAGGAATCTTTAATCTACTACGTGGGTGAAACCGCAGGACACTGCTAGTATTTAATATACCTCACATAACATAATATTAATATTGTTTCATTTTCATACTTGTTCAGTGTGTTTCATTCATTCCATTTGATTTTTTCTATTATTTTGTGTAACAATACCATTTGTTTTTTATTTCCTGCCGAACTTAAGTAAAACTGACATTATTTACTTATATTTGCTCTATGCAAATTTTGATCAAAAAAAGTACTCGATACCTTGAAGTATCGATACTTTTGTTTTGATACTTTAATGAATACGATACTTTTTATCCATTCTACTCATGAGTTCGATAGCGATAATAACGAAAAAACCGCATAAAATACAAAACTGACACAATGACAGCTGACAGATGAATCTGATGACAGGTTGACACTTGACAGTATTTTGGTTTTTGATCGTGTTTTGATCGTTTCGTTTTCGTGTGGGTTATTTGAGTTGATTTTGTATTTGTATTGCTTTGTTAGAAAAAATAAGCCGATAATATCAATATTAAAACCGGTTGGTTAACCGTTAATAATAATTTAGATATGTCGTACGTATCTACTATGTTTCTTTCAATTTTAGCAATCTTATTTGAATGAAACACTGGAAACTATTCTTTGTTTTGTTTGGCTTTTTTAATTACCTAATCTTGTTAGATTGATGAATGTACCTTCTTGTGTTTTCCCAACGCGAGTCAAATTATACCTGTAGGATTACTCTTGTTTACTCCAGCGATCAATGAACTACCTAATTCAGGTCTATCAGGGTCTAATCAATTATCAGATATTATGAACCTTTTACTTGTCGCTTCGGTTAGAAGTATGAAGGGTTGGATGCTTCCTTGTTATACATTCAATTACAATCAATCTTCCCTAAACCTACCCACAAATCTTTTGGGAAAAAAATTATTAGTAAATTACATTATTAAAAATTTTCTTGTAATGTGGCTCAATGATTTAGTGTATGCACACAAACTATATTGTAACATAAATAATTAAATTTTTCAGCTCACTTTGATTACAAATGTAGAACAAAATGTACCTAATGGTTCTATATTCTGGAGTTCAACAATTTATTACATATCTTCTATCACTACATAATGGCAACCTGAAAAACAATCAAAACTAAAAACTAAATATTTTTAGGACACACACAATCTCTTAGTAACAAGTTAATAATTAAATATGTCTGATGTATCTGAAGATGATGCTGGAGAATCTGGAAGCCCTGTTCGAGAAGTTCGAGTATGTAACAACATTATTATCAATTTTAACTCGTCGAGTACCGGTTTTATAGATACAATTAAAGAACAATAGGTCGCGGTCACCGGTGACTGCTTGGTGTTTGACAGATTAAGAAACAACCATTATTGCTTTTCTAAAACAATTAATTGAGACCTCTGTTTCTCCTATCACAATATCTGCAGATTTATACAAACTTCCCCTAAAGTAGCAATCATGCCCAGTATATGGCAATAGGCTCACCCCCTATTACATGGGACTCATACTACATTGTACAGTGGCATTAATCTGTCAAACACCAAGCGGTCACCGGTGACCGCGACCTATTGTTCTTTAATTGTGTCTATAAAACCGGTACTCGACGAGTTAAATGCCATAGATAATGTGCACCTCCGCCTACTCCTACCCCTTTAGGCATAAAAGGCGTGATGTTGTGAATGAGGATATTTCAACAGGTTAAATAATGCATGATTTTTAATCTTAATAAATAGTTAACCATATGATAAATAAAATATTTTTTTAGGCTTCTAGGCCAACATTAGCCCAGTTGATGGAAATAATATCATTTATGGAAGAGCACCCGGATCTGGCTCGCAGGAGGAAAAATGTAGGTCTGAAGATTCAAGCCAAACATAAGAAATTATGGACTAAACTCGCAAAACTGGTTAACTCTTTGGATGGACCTAAAAAAACAAAACCAGCTTGGATTAAGGTACCTACATAATAGCTACAAAATACTAATAAATACCTAACTACATTACTTTTGAAACTATCAGCAAAATAAAACAACAAAATTGTGTTAATTTAATATTTTTTCTTGTCTTTAGTTTTGGTCAGACAAACGACGAAGTTTGATTATCAAACAGAAACAAATTGAGCAAGGTAAACTTAAAAGCCGGCTGACGCCATTACAACGAAAGATTTTAGTGTTATGTGATTATAAATTCACACAAACTAGTGAGTACTTAAACTTTCTTCCTATTTTTCATAATCCCATTGATAAACATACTATTAATTTGGTGCTGACTTATCCAGCATTGATTTCAAACAATGACAATCCTAATAATAAACAACTAGAATTGAACAAACAAATTGTAATTCTGTCTACTTAACTAATTAGAATTCCAATAATAAAATTTCACCAAATAAAGTATAATATAGTACACCTAATCTTTTTCAGGGAAATTTCGCAGCAGTGTGGGAAGAACACCTGTCAATGGTAATGCATTTGATGACGCTTCGAAAGGAGGCCATTATTTAACGGCAGCAGAACAACGACAGATCAAAATGATTGAGCAATTGGTCAGTAATCTTAGAACTAGAGTATTTCACAGATGTTTTAAGAATATAGTCCTCCGTTATCAAGCAGCTTTATAACTTACGGTCATGAATATTCTTATCAAATTACAGTGTGGCAATTGTTGATATTTGTTATTTTTGTCGAGTTTGACCCATCGAATGTCTTATGCGCCAAAGTTGTCGCATAACACAGTACATTGGCATTGAGTCAAGTCAACACTTGACGGGATGACGGGTTAAAGGAGCAGGTATTATGTTCGGATGATTGTTTATCCATTGGATATAATCCGAAGTGGATGATTCAGTTGGACTGATCAATACTAATTTCATCTGCAACCGCGTCAAACTCGGTTTTGAATTAAAAAATGTCTTTACTGTGAGCTTCCTTTCTTATCGAATGATACAGAATATTTTCTATATGTAGGTAACTATCATTTTGTATTTTAGATTGATGTGATGGATGAGCAAACAGCTGCCATGACACAACTGTCAGAAGCCACTCTAACTAGCTCAAAAGCCTTGGAGCAAATAGCAGATGCATCATATGAACAAGTTAGTACACACATACTGGTATTATTATTAACAGATTTTTTACTATAATATAAATTCCCCGAATTGAACGGCAGAGATGCACTCCCACAATATAACATCCGTTCGCCACTTTCACCCGAAATCTCTTACTTAGCAGTCGTACCTGCGACCACTCGACAAATAAGGTTCCTAATGTTCACGAATATATTTTTTTACAGGCCCTGGCAGTAGACCGAGTGGCCGGGACTTTTGAAAGTATTAACGTATCGGTGAACGATATCAGGAATGCGCTACTAGGAATAGATTACACTATGAAACGCTGCTACCCTGCTACACAACAAAGGCATAATAATATATTCAGTTGAAAATTTGAAAAACTTCCATACACAATGGTTAAACCATTACGACCCTAACTAATTCTAGTTCCTTAAGTGTCATTACCGTACACTTAATTTGCCTGTAATCTCTCGTACAACGTATCGAATATTTATCTGTGGTAGGTTAGATAACCTTTGTATTAAATGTTAATTAAGGAGGTGTACTGTATTTAATGAATAAGATTAATTAAAAATGATTATGATTTGTGATTCAGATTTTCATTTTCCCTATACTTGTATAGTGCATTCATAGTAGACGTATTTAAGAACCCCAGTGTTTATGTAGTGAAAGAGTATGTTCTACGTAGGTGCGCGGTTATCTTATCTCCTCTGATAGTGATTGTTTTATCAAATCGTGTTTCATTGCTCCACTTTTTCATGTGAAAACGAACGGAAGCGCCTTTACTGCACTGAATCTTTTAAAAATAAATATTAATTTAATAATGAGAAGTCCTCATGTTTTGTTAAAATATGGAGTTGAAATATATTTTAGTGGTGGTCTTATTAAGTGCGGGGGTCGGTGGTGAGTTGTGTCCGAAGCAATGTGACTGTGACATGGACAATGGGTTGAACAGGGCGATGTGTGTCGATCAAAACATTATCACCATTGAGATGGGAGTGCCCAAAGCAGTGCAAGTGTACAGTTTGAGTCATAATGTTATTAGTGAATTGGATAACTTTTGTTTTAAGGTAAGCAATGTATCGAATTGTTTTCATATTTCAATGTTATTGTAAATGCTTGTGTACTTAGATAAATGAATGTTCAGATATTGACTCATTTACCATTTGTCGTACGTCATATTAAGTAGGTCCTATCTATGATTTTGCAATAACTAAGGGCTTGTGGAAAACAAGGAAAATTCCTAAAACTTATCTCTTGAAGTACTAAATTGCGTCAACTAACTAGGGGAGAAAGCACACTAACTATCAATCAAATTTTTTATTGATTGACTACACGATTGGTGCAATGGCTGGGCGACCGGCTAAAGCATTTGTCACGGGTTCGCTTCCCCCACGTTCTCTTGTGTGATCCATAAATCGTTGTACCGGGTCTGGATGTCATGTGTATGTGAATTTGTGTGGTTGTAAGTGTACCCATAATCCATGAGAAAATTCTAGTGTACGGCAACGTTTCTTTAGCTCGTCGAGTACCGTATTTATAGACACAATTAAAGAACAATAGGTTGCGGTCACCGGTGACCGCTTGGTGTTTGACAGTTTAAAATCATAAAGCCACGTTTAACGGTAATGACACTGCTAATAAAATCTATAAACAATCGAGCTGCCTATCCCACTTATCTAAATAGGTATCTAACAATTATCACTGTAATTATAGTGCAATGTACTCATCTAGTGTTGACCACTTTTTATCCTTTATCATCATCTCCTTTGTTTCATCTCTTACAGGACTTGGGCTATACATCGCTTCAAATGCTGGATCTCTCGAATAACCTGATATTCTGGATTGGTCTGCATGCTTTTTCGGGATTGGATAAATTAGTACATTTGGATCTAAGCACCAACAGATTGAGATACATTCCTTCCGATCTATTCTTCGAGACGCCAGAATTGGACACGTTGGACTTGTCATCGAACGTGTTTGAAAGTCTTAAGAATGAACCCTTTTTGATGCATTCAAAACTAAAGGTAACTAACAACTAAATGTATTTAGTTTCTTCGCCCATAAGTGAAGGTATATTATTAATCACTCTTTGTACCTACTGTTTAGATGTGTAAGTGATCTAAATTTTGTTTTCGTTTCCAGGTATTAAATCTTAACAATTGCCGCATTAAGGCGTTACCGCCGCGATTATTCAACCGACTACCGAATTTAAGAAAACTAGATTTAAGCGAGAACTATGTAACAAGTTTAAAAACAGAGGTTCTGACACCTTTACGTAAACTAGAGAGAATACAACTTCGCAACGAGTTCTGGCTATGCAATTCAGATTTCATAGCAGTGGAAAATTGGATAGCATCTCGAGGTATCACTTATCAAAAACAGTGCAAGAAAAAGGAACCAAAAATGTCCGAGAAGATGATATTCCTAGTACCAGATGTGAAGAAAAAGGAAGTCGACGTAAGCGACATATGGAACATAACGACAGAGAAAAATGATTCTGCCGTGGAACACACTAACAAACCAATTACACCATTTCAAAAATTTGATCAAGACTTTTCAGCAGTCAAAGCTTTCATACTCGGCATCGAAATAGGCTTAGCAATCGGAATAGTGGCAACATACGTTTGGTTGAATAGATTCTGTACATGTCGTGCATTACGATGTACTCGGCCACAGACAAGGAGACAAAGAAGACGTAGAATGCAAAGATTTGACGGGGACATGAGAACTAATTTATTGTGGACTACTGTTGTGAATCCGGACTTGGAGAGTCCGCCCTCATTCCGGAGACAGCTCTCCTTGCCTGATAGAAGTGCACCATTCCCAACGTACGGTCTGCCGAATGTGACTGAAGCCCCATTACAAATAGATGCGATACGTGTTCCGGATCGTAGCGAGACACCGCCGCCGCCATACCATGACTGCCGCATTATTATTTGAGCTACAAATGGCTGATAGATAGGTTCATTTCTCATATGTGATATTTTTTCGAATTAAGTCGTTGTTAGTGGAAGCTTGTGATGACGTCCAAGATAAGATAACACTTTTCGTGGTAAATTTCTCGTTGCACTTCGCCAAATGCGCCTCTTGTGGAACTGTGTCGTATTGACTTTTAGTGAGTAAACAATTTATGTTAGTTGTAATAATATAGAGCTAAAGCTAAATTAATGTACAAAAACAATAAGACTAATTTTATAAAATCGTTATTTATTTTATAAATACCATTATCACATTTGATTCATTAACATAATTATATGATCTGTCATAATATAAAAAAGTTAATACAATAATATGCTAAGTCAGACTCATAGAATTTAATATAAATTCTCTAAAATTAAAATAGATATAATTTGGGTAACTCTATAGAATTTTGTACATTACATAACCTAGTGGCAATTTTGTAGTTTCAAACTATGGCATTTAAATGGCAATTAAATCCCAAACATTGGTAAAATTATACATAAATACATTGAACTATACCAGGCGCCCGAATTGACATTATTGATTACGAACAAAACTAAACGGAAAACAAATTCAAATAAAACTGCTTGTAATGAGTAAGTCAACTAAAACTTGCTTTATAAATAAAAAGGTATATCTGTAAGAATATGGAATGTACAGTTCATATAAATAGCATTAACACAATATCAAAGTATTATAATACATCCATTTTGGCTATAAAAGGAACATGAACTGGAAATGGTTAGCGAAATAAAAACAAAACTAACTAAAAAGAATAGAATTTAAACTAAAAATGCTATTTCGATACTCTACCAGATTAATATTAAAACATGTTCAAAATATGTATATTCTATTTACATAGACTTACTGCTAGTTATAGAATAATACGTAAATCAGGCACATCATGGCATGTCATTACTGATATCACGAATATTTTCAAACTAATATTATTTCGTTGTTCACGTCATGTTATTTGTGCATTTAATGGTGTAGACACACACACACACACACACGTAGAGAGGTATTATAGACAATACTATCCAACATTCTGTACATACACTAGAATTATCGCAGTTTCATTAATAGTAGAAAATATAGAAAATTCGCACTATCCGTTGTAAATCTATATAGTACCGGAAAAATGCAACGCTATTTAAAATTAAAACAACTGTTAAAACACTGTGACGGTCCTAAGTATACTTAAATAAAAAATTGACAAAACAAATAAGAAACTCCAGGTTTTCCGCCAAGATTTTCGTCTGAAACATAGTTCTTAGCCCTAAACATAAACACTAGTGAACCTACGTACAGAATACAGACGCCTACTTATCAAGCTACTCCATACTGTCTAGGAGATTTTCAACTTTAATTTTTTGCAATAACGTCGATGATTATTAACAACAACGGTAAAATTGACGAGGAAGTGGAAAAAAGATACGCTATATTCATGGTTAACCAATAAATGAAACAGTAGCATAAAAGGTGCCGTAATATGCAAATACTGGTTTAGGCGAAAGAACAAAAGTAAGATAATAGTTTATTGGTAGGGTGCCCTAGAAAAATCGGGTCGTAAAATTGGCAGCTTGAAGTAGCTTAACATGTCTGTCTGTACACTAAAATTAACATAAATTAAATACCTACATTTCATTAGAGTGCTTCTTAAACATTAGCATCTTCGTTCTCCAGCGCTAGTTGGCTGATGTTGACGTAGTCAGGGTGCTGTGAGAACACGTCGACTAGTTGACTGAAACTGGGCCTCACGTCTGGGTTATACGCCCAGCAGTCGAGCATCACTTGGTATATTTCATCAGGACAATCCTTTGGTCTTTCCAAACGTTTCCCGCTTTCCACTATTTGTATAGCCTGTTAAAATATTAAGACGTGAGTATTACTGACTTATTTGGTAGTTTATACGAATACGACTAATGGATTTCATTCCCTAGTCGAAAAAGATAATCATAAGTTTAAGGATGTCGATATACTTAGTGATAGTATATGACAATACAATTTAGTATGAGACAACCGATTTGCTTAAAACTAGCTTAATAAAAATAAATATTTGTAAAACAAATGACGTACCTCAATGCCTCTCATGTCTCCATAAGGTTGCTTCCCGTAGGAGAACATCTCCCAGAGCGTGATACCGTAGCTCCATACATCGCTGGCGTGGCTGAACGTGCCGTAGTTGTACGACTCCGGCGCATACCATTTAATGGGCCATTTACCACCGCGACTCGCTTTGTAGTACGAACTGTCCGTCGAAAGAGCTCTCGATAGACCAAAGTCGCTTATTTTTGCTTGATGTCTAAAAAAAAACCATTTTGTTAGGGTTAGGTATTGTATTTATATTTACACCTGATTTTGGGTTATGCTATGGAGACCCGCCAATACTCAGAAATTGGCAAGTAAACGGGGACATAAAACTTACCTGCTGGCCAGCAGAATGTTCCTCGCAGCTAAGTCGCGGTGTACAAAACGACGTCTCTCTAAGTACCGCATACCGGCCGCCACTTGGCACGCCCATAGTCGCAGTTCATATCCCGGCGACGCTTTGTCTGGGTGTCGCACAAGGTATTCTAGTAGAGAGCCCAAAGGCACCAACTCTTGTATCATTGCTAATGGTGGGCCCTGCATGAAATGAGTACAAAATCCTAATTAATAACACAACAAGAACAAATTGTACAGTAATTTTGGTGATGTTCAAATAAACTAGATACATAACACAACCACTGTCATTTTAACACAGAGGAAAGTGGCGACACTGGGAATCTTTCTTACGCTTTACGTATTTCACATTCATTGACATTTTTGTGTAACACATGGTGTGTCTGGCAATCAATCAATAAACCCATGTTACAAGAATTTTATCTCGCTTTGTGAGTAGGTGAATCACTGATAGTGAGATAACGATGATAAAGGTTTAGCAACTCACCAAGGAGACTCCAATGAGTCTGACAATGCAGCGGTGTCGTACGGACATCATGACCTTGGCTTCAGAGAGGAACTCCTTCTTGTTGGTGTCTGTGTGTTGCATGTGTAACGTCTTCACTGCGACGGGCTGCGGCGGCTGGTCGCCCGGACTGTACGTCGCACGCAGTACTGAACCAAACTCTCCCTCGCCCAGCACCGCGCCCAGTGTTAGCTCGCTCATTGGGATAAATTCTGACAAATTACAATTATTATTTGTGAGACATATTATTACAATTTTTGATGGAAAAGACGATTGTTGTTGAACATTTTAAGTAGATTCGACAACAACTTGAAATTATATTAAAAGCTCACCTTGCAGTGTGGAAAGCTGGCCATCAGAGTTAATAGATATTTCATTGTAATTTTCAGCTAATGTAACAACGGCACTATTGTTGGCAGGCACTTTGTACGTGTCATTGTCATCTAACGAATCATCGTTGTTATTAATACTATCATTGTTAAAGTCAGACGAAAATGACAAGTTCCTTGTGAGTAGTTCGAACATGTTGTTGTTGGACTGTATGGAGGTGGGCGGGGACGTCTGGGCCGACATCTGCTTGTCGCTCAGTATGTCGTGCTTCACTAGAGACAGCGACTGGTTGGACATGGCGGCCCGGCTCGACGCTAACTTCTTCGTTCGTGGCATTGTGGAGAACTGTTGATGAAGATGTTGAAATTAGTACTTAGAACATTCAGACGTCAGTAACTTCAACCTGAATTTTCTTTGTATACTTACTTCAGGTAGAGGTGGTTTGGGTTTGGGCGGCACTGCGGTGGTAAGGCGGGTAGGCAGACCATCGGGCACAGTACTGTAGTGCTCGATCAGTCGCTCTAGAGATTCTAGATAAGGACCGTCGTCAATAAACAACCAGCTTGCCTGAAATTAAAACAGAACATACAAAACATTGATATGCTGAATTTCGGAAATCAAAAATCATAAAGTCTCCATCTCTACTTGCTTATTAGTAGTTGGTTATACACAAATTTAAGTAAGGAGACAAAACTTACCTCTTTCCTAATAATAAAATTATAAGGTGTATTTTCACTAAGCATCGTCAGCACGTAAGCTCCGGTATGTCTCTCGCTGTAACGTACGAGGAAGACACCATCGGAAGCCTTGCCCTCAACCTTGTGATGTTTGCAGTATTCCTCCAATGTCTTCACAGCTTCCTCCCTGTTCAGGGTGCCGTGGTACCATAACTTTTTCGATGTTTTTGGAACATCTGGTTGGTGATTTTCTGGAAAAATTAACATACATATAGACATAGAAACAATACAAGAGATACTAGTGTACTAAATAAATAACGCAATTCTTTTTGTAGGTGTAATTATCCTGCGAAGGGTACTTACTCAGTAATTGATAGCATTCTGTATGTCCATAATGTTTGGCCAGGTCAGCTGGTGTGTCGTGCGCCAAAGTTCGGGCGTGCGCTGGGGCTTTGAGTTTCAGTAGAACCTGTAAAGCAATGTCATATTGTATGTCACAGCAAGTAAAGTCATAACCATGATTTTTTCCTCCTCTATCACTCAAACTCTCAAAGAATTAAATAATATCTCTGTGAATATAAATGTAATCACTACAAAGTATCCATTGTAATGTTGGTTTTATTACAAATCCAATTTGGGCCACATTCAGTTTCGCATGTAGATCACGAGGCAGAAAGTTAATCTGCATGCAAGCTGCACAAACAGGTGTTCTCGGACGACCATGACAGTACTACGTGCGTCTTCCGTGTTTGTTTTCTTTTGTTTCAATTACATATTAGCAAATCTAATGAATCTAATACTATTTGATATGTTAGTACTTGACATGTGGCGCCCTATTCGAATGAAGTGAGACTTGACACGTTTATGGATATGATGAATCTTTAATCTGTTTAGAATTTACACTAACAATAGCAGAGATTTAATTAAATCGATCTGTCTATTTGGAAGAACTTCTTTTGCATACAATAAGTGATTCAAGCAATAGTTTATTACATAATTATTATGCAAGCTAACTGCTCAATTACTAGTCTAATAAGAAATGTTAGATAACGGACCTTGATGCATTCAATGTGTCCTCTCTGCGCAGCGTCGTGTAGAGGCACTTTTCCGGTGGGCGCGTGTCTCATCTGGTAGTTAGCATTGCCTTTAGTTATCAACAGCTCTGTCGTACTTGGCAAGTTGTTCTGGCATGTATACTGTGGTGAAAAATAAAAACGATTAAAGCAAAATCAAGGAGCCTAACTCAAATCTCATATCTGATTTGCTATGAATGTTTTTTTATGACGAAACCACTACTATTTCGCATTTAAACTTACACTTAAACATGTCTTCAAATTTTCTCTTTTATATTGTTATTTTAAGCAACAAAGCATATGGACCCACCTAATGATGATCGGACGCTATAGCTTAAGTAAACTAGCGTTGCCGGCTATTACGAAGCAATTTAATTGTGCCATGATTTTCGGCATTAAAAATATTAATATGATTTTTATTTCAACTTACATGTAAAGGCGTGTATCCAAATGAGTCTCTAACATTAACAGTGGCCCCACTTTCTATCAGCTTGGCAAGTATACTGTCTCTGCCAGACCTAGCGGCGATGTGAACCGCTGTCTGGCCATCCTGGTTCTTAGCGTCGCGGTTGCGGTAACCACACGCTAGTAATTGAGATACTACGTTGAAATCACCGGCCTCTGTGGCTCTGTAAACGTTGAATAACTTATAATTATTGTTCGGTATATATAACAAACTTGTAGGTGTTAATGGACGCTAAAAATCACAACCTTATAAGTCTTTTTCGGCTACGTTTTTTGCAACCTTGACTAACAAGGGTAGTCATGATTTTTTTGTCTAATAACATAATTATTATAGTTTTGTTTTGTACACCATTTCACTCCCACAAACATAAAAAATCGACATAAAAAATCATTCTATTTAAAACACATTACCATAGCTAATGAGAACACAATTATGACAATGAAATCGCTAATAGCTCACAAGAATATTTAAATATCAATAAGGAACAATGTGCTGCAATGAATCATATTATAAACAATGATTCATCATTGCCAAACACAGATGTATCTGCTCTGAGTTAATAGTTGTCATCATGGCAGACACCATCTAACATTCTCAAGATATGACTAATGTCAGCTTCACACTTCAATGATACCTAATCCACACTTGAACTAATATTGAATCGGATTAGTTAATATAAAATTACTATATTAGCATGTAATACATGTAAAGATAACAAAACATACTTAGTAACTTTTGTTGACAATGTTTTTATATTATTCAGGACAGTGATAAACATTTTAAGTATTGTTACCTAGCACATCGTTACTAATATTATAAATCTGAAAGTGAGTTTGTTTGTTTGTTCCACCTTCACGCCGTAACTACTCAACCGATTGCTTTGAATTTTTGCAGACGTGAAGTTAGAAGTCCGAATTAAATAATATGGTACTTTTTAACCCGGATAAAATTGATATTCCCGAGGAAAAACAAATGTAATGGTATAGATGGCGCTGTGTGCATTGGTATATGTCACATAGGCTACTTTTTATTCTTTTGTGACGCGAGCGAAGCCGCGGGTAAAAGCTAGTAAGATTATAAAACATTCATAAGAAATATCTAAAAGTTATTTGATTATTTTTCAGTTCAAAACTGCAACATCTAATGCAGCAACTAATTAACCATACTGCTAAATGTGCAAACTAAATAAAAACTCATGACTCAAGTGTAAATAAAATATTCCTAGCAGAATAGTTTACACAAGACTTAAGAATGTGATTACTAAAGTGGGCATGGCATGTGACATCTTGACTCAATTATTTCGGACCACATTTGGTATTCCAATCAGCGTACATTGCAAACAGATCTTGTCATAAAACATGCAAAGAATTTTGATATCATACACATAGCATCATGTTGTAGACATTATCATGCGACCAGTAAATGGTCACAGCACTCACAGCTACTGGCCTTCTCTTCATATTTATTGGATAAACATATTGAACAATGCGCTCAACAGGAAATTGTCAATAAGCTTGTCAGCACTTGTATTGAATTACAAGCCCTATAAACTGCTATGCAAGTGAAAATCAGTGCAATAACCCCTTTTATAGGCGATGTGTGTTATGAATAAACTTAAAAATATACAATTTTTTAACAAGGTAAACCATTAAAGTTAATAAGAAATTAATATTACTCATGGTCATTATTCTTAAAATGGACTTGAATTTTATAAATAAATAAAGACAATGAACAGAAACATTGTGTGAGGTCCCTGCATTAATTAATCAATGGTTAAAAAAAAAGAAGTAGTACTTATACTTTTTATACTCTTTATTATACCTATAAGAAAGTAATGATTGATGATGATCATGATTACATAATCACAATGAAATAGCAAAACTTGCAAATAATAGATATTATTTTCATAATACAAGTATATGTATTGACTATTGAATCATGAATAGTAATTGATCCTTGTAATTGTCCATAGCAAGAGAATAGAAACAAAAACTATACAGTATGAATGATGAAAGAATGTTGGTATACTCCATTCAACTTGGTAATAAAACAAGAGGGATAAATTAAGGGCAATTTAGGTGGCTCTCATCTTAATAGAACTTCCTTCTTCAACTAGATAAACCCATTATCTACTATCTCTAATTGGCATTGCATGTTTTGATCAATTTGTTTTTTTTCTTGAGCTGTTTATTCACATACCAGTGTGGGAGAACGAAAAAAGTTATCAAGGGGTCATAGCCATAGGTTTCCTGTTTTATTAATAGTATAGTACCTATTGTTTATGAATTAAGGACCCTAGTATTATATTCAAAGTTTTGATTTATGATTACTAGTAACATTATGCATGTTCTAATCCATATACTGTAATTCATTGTTAGTTAAATCTAAATTTGTAGTTCCTTATGAGTTCTAATGTCCTATCCATATTGGATTTTAAGAATACAATATTAATTTTGTCAGCGTAAAGCAGTTATGTGACGGAATAGTGAACGAATTTTTTTAATTTCTATTAATTATTTAGGAATATTTTAGCGGGACATCAATATTCCATACATACAGAACTATTTATTAAAAATACTATTACAATAAAATATTTACTGTACAGAATTTGTCACATACCTAGTTTTTTTTTAAATAACTGTAAGATATACTAACCTGTGTAATAGATTGGTAGTTCCTTGTGTGCGAGACTCATGAGGTGGTGGCTGTCCCTTGCAGACCACAGATAGTCTGGTAACCAGTCCGTTGGAGTCTCCCGGTAATGTTGTATGAGTGTGTCCAGTCCATGAACTGTTGTGTGCTCTTCAATCGAAAAGAAGGCGTCTTCGCCATGTCTCCGGATTTGATAATGCACAACTTCCCCCTATAGAAGAGATAATACCTAATGTTAATTTATAATCTGTATCTATTAGTTTTTATCTGTATTAGCACAACAAATTACAAAATACAGTAAATTTGCTAAAAAACTTATAAGACCTTAGTTAGAAATGATTCAATAGATTTTTTATTACCTTTGTTTGTTGTAAAGACAAAGCTAGCTAATAAGACTGATGGCCTAACACAGGAAAACAAGTTCTGTTTTGAGGTTATAAAAACTTTTAAAACTGACCTGATGTAAAACTGAGAGGACATAATCTCCAGGGGAAGTGTTACTTTCACGCACTAAAAACACACCATCCTCTCCTTCTGTAAGTTACAATACAATTCAAGTCAACAACAACAAAAAACATTGGTTGAACAACAACAACAAATAGCAGTAATCACTACAGACCTTCTTTTAAGAGCTTCTCAGCCGTGTCCCGCGATATTTTCCCATGAAACCAGTTAACATTATCTTCTCTGTTCATTCTCAACAAAAAAGAGTTTGTCTGAAAAGTTAATTAAAAACTTGTTCAACAAGTATTTTCACAGACACAAAACTTTTCTTGATCATTTCTCATACAAGTTATGGTTTTATTTTGTTCAGTTTCTTTATTCTGAAGGTTTCACAAACTTGTCATATTTATTATGGAATATTTGTTCAATACACTTTATTTATTAGAATATAATTATCTACACGAGACTTCTATACGTTTCGACATAAACTTTTAGAAGCAGTTCGCCATGTTTATCTCTATTTCTTTCTTACATAGTACAAAATCATATTCGAGTAAGCAACCAATTCAAAATACCCATACAAGTGGAGTTTATCTCTTTCTAACACATGACAATTTTACGTGTAAAACAGAGATCGCTACATCTGGAATTCTTACGTTTTCTATTTATACGCATAAAAATGTAAACGTCAGACCAACTACAATGGTCAAATAAGAAACTGATAAGAGTTTTTAGGATGATTCATCCATATTATAATTCTTAAATAATTTTACAATATTTATCAATAAATCTTAGGTATTTATTAATTATCTAGTTATTATAACTTACCTTTAATAATATGAATGACGTCATGGTTGTTATCATGATATCCAACTTCGGAAACACAAAAATATTTACAAATATTTTTAAGAAGAATTTTTAATTATATCTCCTTCGTTTTTTGTTCACACACATATTTAACACGAATATAGGTTATTATTATGTTAACACAAGATATTTCGTGAAAAGCGCAGCACGGTGAGCGGAGTGCGTCTAGCAAGCAGCCGGCAGACAGGCGCGGTATCCCCGACTCTGCCTTCCAACGAATGACTCATAGCAAGGTCAATTCCGAGAAATGAATCACCAACGTACTCAGTTCTACAATGCTTTATGTAGTACGCATTCCCCCACAACAGTGCTTCATTATTGTAATTTGTAAATAAAGACATAAATTGCCTTTACTTATGTTGTAGAAATACATAGCAGGCAATATATCTAGACTTCTCAATGGTTTTTTGTAATAGAGTTCTTATAAATAAATAGTAGTCTTTAATACTTGTATTTATCTCTTGCTATGCTTATAGTATGCTAGTGCTTGGAAAACCAGGATGGAAAATAGGTAGAGAGGAAGTAGTATAACTAAATATCTGCTGATACGTAAGTAAGTAGATAGAAAAGTAACTTGTTTATTCAAAACGACCCGAATTTGTAGACAATTAGGTATCGGTGATCGGTGTCAACCTGCTCTACTTAAACATAATATAGGGTCGTGAAGATATTTTTTTGCAATAATTAAAACTCATCCTTAATTTTTTAATTCCGTAGAATATCAGAGACATTCAAGTGAAATCTTTGACAATATATTCAAGACTAATAGGGTAGTCCCAAATTGCAGCCTATCTACACATACTCGAACTTGATTTAAGTAATTAAACAAGATAGGCTCTTTCTAGCGTGTTTTTAAAAATTAAAACCTACATATGTAGAGTGCCTACATAACAACTACAAGGTAAACCTATTTCTCTTTTCAAATAAGTACCTACCTAGTCTAATTAGTATTTGTAACAAGCTTGGTATAATTGCGTGGATAGGTACCTGTATAAATAAATTCAGTTAATAACACTGTAGTGATGATCAACCTATCTGTAAAATTAATAAAATATGGTGTTTTGTTCCATTTTATAATAATGAAAACAGAACTAATAAATGTATCGTCTATTTAACACATGTTCAAGTAGAGGCAACCCTGCGCTCTAACTTCGCAATAAGACTGCGATGACTCACAAACTCATGAGATCTGCAAATATTGTCAGATATGTACGTACCTAACTATCTGCGAAGTTAATCAAAGAAACTATAATATTTTTCCAGAAGTGGTTATTACGACATCTCGGTAATAAGTAGGTAAATATAACACGTCTGGATCGAGGTACCTACGCAGCAGTACATACAGAGGTAGGTAATACTAATTAGCCGTCAAGACATTGATAAAGGCGATATAACATCTCGTCCCTCGACTTTTATTCCCCGAAGGAGTAAGGCAGATACACACGTGACTCTATTGCCATTTACTTACTAGAAACGTTTCCAGGCTCCGACATTTTACTGAAAATTTAGAAACCTTGACTTGGTAGTTTCATTAAATTCCGGACCATTTTCTTCCTTTTTCTATTCTTCCCAGACTAGATCACCCTTACAATTACGGTCGTATGCTGCCATTTTCCAGGTGAGCAGGAAGGGAGATGAAAAGAAAATGGAACAAAGACAAATGTTATGTGAACCACATTTTAATGGCCAACGGTTTGAGCACTTAGATCAGACTAAGTTCCCACCTCTGTGAGCTATGATAGCTGACTCAGTTGATTGTACTGGCATAAGTACGGATCTTAGATTAAGAAACACTTGTCTAGCGCCTGCGCCTTTCGCGTGCCGATACATTGCAACACTTACCATTTTATCGCTACGATGCCCCATAATACTAAGGCAAGTAGCAAGCATGATAAATTTGAGAATATTTTATTTACGTAGTTATTTAACTTCCTTTGTATGATTACGAATCAGTATATAGGTAAGGTTTTATACACAAAATTATGTGCATAGGCCTAACACCATTGATATTTATTCAACTCAATTAAGTGTTATTTCGATTCAATTGTTATTGTTTACCAATTGTTGTAAACCTACTTTTTAGATCTTTTTCCTTTAGGTACTGTACGTAGGTACATTACATTATAACCACTACTACTACTACCAATAGGTAAGTGTCATCGTAACAAATGTCATTTTTTTGTAACTGTACCATTTAAATGAATACCTAATTACTTATTCAATCTATTGAACTGCTGAAACCTCATAACAGGTACATCTATTACCTCAGCCTTTCTTTCCATTCATAGCTGGTCGGGGAATATTACAATAGTTACTTACGTACAACACAATAGGTACCTATTTATAAAACTGATCGAGATAAACAATAGGGCTTGACATAATTCATGTTGATGACAATTTATGTGAGCACTCCGGCATTGATTAGATAAACGTTCGGCCTACGTATTTAGAAAGCATTCGCTATACCTAGGCACGGAGTGGACAAACTAGTCTCAAAGTTTGTTTACCTCACGAATGCAATGTTTATTTACTTTCATTCGTCTCCCTGCAACGGCTGCAACCTGTCCACGTTCTGCATAGAATGCCCGACCAGCCATTGTTTCGAGAGAATGTATTTCTTTGCAACAATAAAGGTAATATCCTCTCAACGAGCCATAAGAAAATTCTGTCCCGCTAAACCAATGCTATAGTTAGTGAGCGTAGTTTATTATAAAAAAAATATTGGTTACATATGAATATTACGTTTCGTTTTTCCACAATTTTACTTCTTTACTCTAAAAATGCACACATTCCGTGAGATGTGCCGAACCTGCTTTAAATTTTCTGAAATGTCTGAATCTGAATAAAAAATAGGCTTTTCAGGTAATTTTCAGATAAAATTATTTCCAAATGTATTTTATTTGTCACTCCATAACACATTAATTACAAATACCCAATCAATCGATAGTAGTGGAGTCTAAAAATCACAAGGGCAATTTGATTAGGTCTCTAATATTTTTTTTGTCTTTAATCAAACGTTACCCCACACTAGGATATTTTCCTGTGTCGTGGGTACGTTTAGAAACATACAAGTTCACATATAGATGACATCCAGACCCGAAACAACAATTCGTAGATCCCACAAAGAGTTGCTCCGTGCGAGAATCGAACCCGCTACACGTTGCGCGGCAGCCAGTTGCCCAGCCACCGCCAGTCTATTTATTTTCTCTCTGTGCTAAATAACATCATATTATACAAACACGTCCTTGGTGTATAGGTAGGTATGAGATATCCGTTTCGTCAAGGCAGCCTGGAGTGGCTACGTGTTGGGCCACGGGTGACTCACTCCGCTTTCTACCAGCCTGCCATGCCGCCTGCCGCCTGCCGCCTGCCGCCCGGTGGGTAGCGGTCGATGACACTGGGCCTGTTTATTCCCCATTCGTACTAGACCTATTGTGCTAATATTCCAATGACGCAAACAAGTGACTAACTATTATTTTACCTTTAATGTGTTAAGCTCTGTTGAGGTAGTCACTGTTTATGAATTTGCTACGAAAGCACGAAATCAACTAATCTAGCTTTTATCCAACTTACCTTACCAAAAGTATCTAACAACTATTTTTGGATTCAAATCCTCCAATTCTCTGATTGATTCTGAGATTTTTTCTCAAAGACTAACTACCTAATTAGGTTTTCTGATTAAAACGCCAGTTTTTGTCAATGGACCCAAAAGTATCAATTGTTGAGTCATAACTAGTTCTTAAAACTGACAGAATTGTAAAAAAGATGAAGGAAATATGCTATACCTACAAAATCAGTCGGTTTAGTGAACGACAACCTTACATTGTATAAGGAAACACGACGAAGCCAGCCGACCTCAAAACAAGTGCGAAATGACTAAAGCAAAACGAACAGAACTCCCAAACCGAACGGTAGCGCCGCTCCGCCTGATGAGGTAATCACACTATGAATGAAAAAATACATAAAAAATCTAAAATAAACTGAGTAACTGTAAGGTCGACCAGGAAAACTCGTACCACTGTAAACTGAATCTTATTCCCAACACGATATAAGTATTTCTTGCTTGTTCTAATGTGCTAGATATTTTGAGACACTGCGATATTGAATAGATAGCTACAGATGACTCATCTATGACTAGGAGATCACTGAGCGTAAAATTTAGGTATCCAAGTTGTGTTTAAGTTCTCGGTATACGACGTGGTGTACGATTTCAGTCTATATTTAGAATGTTTACGAACCGAAACGCTATTAAAAGCTAGGGTTTTGCGTTTACGGAATCGAACTGAAGGTTCGTAGGTCAGCTCGCGATATACAAACTTTTTACGTAGTGCAACTAAATAAAATTATGTAAAAACGGTAGGCACTAAGAATTTTTTATAGATACTAAGCTTTTGGTAATAGGTATGTAGAGTCAGCTCTCAAAAAACATAACCACTATCTTTTGCTTGGATCAAAACTTCTATCGTTTCTTCTTAAAACAATCATCGTTGCTACTATAATACAACCTCCTTTATATCTTGAGAATATTATGATAATTTAGTATAAGACTGGCAATCTTTCTTGAAAATTTTCATAATGTCATTAGAAATATAAAAAAAGAAAAGAAAAACAACTCAAATGGCATCCTTAGATTTTTAT